TAGGAACTAGAGGAAAGTTGTATGTTTCATCATTGCTACATCGCACCCTGACTGGCTCATCTCCTCCCCGAGACCCTTCTGTAAGGGGATGTCCACAGTTTTCTATTTTCATAAAACTTTTCCATAGTAAACCCCTGTGCTTACCGCCCCTTTAGTATACCTCACGAAAACCAGTCACCATAATCTCTGAGCTGACCTCTGCCTTGAGTTTCATTGGCCCAGCAGATCTTCTCAAAAGATGCTGTTTGGATTGAACCTTTCTAAGCATTTGAGCGAGTGTAAGATACATTACTGAAAACATCTCTGATCACACAGACATGTCTCCGCTTTCTGTGTGGAATAAACCGGGCACAGAGCCCTCAGAGCAATGCTTTACTTATCCTGTTATACACAGACAGACATGCAAAGAAAGCATCAAAGTCTTTACACATATTTCCATAATATTTACACATTATTTGGTAGGATCTACACATTTGATAAGATAGTGTTAGTTTTTATGTGTGGTGTTTCTTAATTCTCGCTAAACATACGTGAATTCAGTTATGAGGATTAGAGAAATAAAATACATAAAAGAGAAAGAGAAACCAGAAAAACCATTTGAGAGTTACCCAGCATTGTCTCCGGACTATTGGTCCCTTAATATTTCCATATGTGTCTACTGCCTCCCTGTCACTGACCAAGCGTGCCCTTACCGGCACTTGACCTCATCTGTGGCCAGGGTCAGTCATCTGCTTGGTGAGAACTGTCATTCTTCTTGCAGATTGGCTTTACCACCGACCCCCGGATGGCCCGGTCCTCTCCCTACCCCACAGACGTTGCCCGTGTGGTGAATGCCCCCATTTTCCACGTGAACTCAGATGACCCTGAAGCAGTGATGTACGTGTGCAATGTGGCAGCCGAGTGGAGGAGCACCTTCCACAAGGATGTCGTCGTTGACTTGGTGAGTGTCCCCCTGAATCCTTTCAGAACCAGACATCACCAACCTGAACATAGAGATGTGGGGGCTCTTTTTAAGCTTGATGAGTCAACCCAGAATCTCTCTGGTCCCATGTCTCAGACTCATGATGCTGTGAGTCAGCATCAACTCGATAGCAGTGGAGTGGGTCTCACACAGATTCACCTTTAATTCTAACTCCATGAGTACCCTGTAACTCCAGGGAGTATTCAAACATATGAGGCATGTTCTGATTCCTGGCAACCGAGCTGTGACGGTGAAGGCAATTACTGAGCTAGTCTAGGCCCATCACGGGGCTCCTTTGTGAATATGGAATTACAGTACTGAATTTCATTTTACCCCGCTTGGTAGTCAAACCAACTGTAGTTTGTAAAGGGGCAAGAAGCAGCGCATCCTAAGTGAGACTTACTATCACACTGGAGGAGAAGAGATGGACTAGACCCTCATGCGCCTGCGCCCCAGCCTGGCAGGCTGTTCTCCCTGGTGGCTTTACTGCTGAGGAGCTGTGGCTGGCTTCTCTCATCCTGGCTTCCCCGGCACGACTAGGTATGTTACCGGCGCAATGGCCACAACGAGATGGACGAGCCCATGTTCACACAGCCGCTCATGTATAAGCAGATCCGGAAGCAGAAGCCCGTCCTGCAGAAGTACGCCGAGGCGCTTGTGTCGCAGGGCGTGGTCAATCAGCCGGAGTACGAGGTGCAGTCCCCCCGCCCCCGTTACGTCATAGACCCGTCGTGGTTGAAAGTGGGTGAGATAGGGAGGTTGTAGTGTAGTTATTAGACTCCTGGGGAAGATATGGGAATGTCAACAACGATTGCTCACATTTCCGTGCCTAGCCTTTGGATTCCCTGGGCTCTCGGAAGTGTGGCAGCGGACGGGTCCCAGCAGCCTTGTGAAGGTGGGGCTGGTTGGGTTGGAGATGAGTGGACCAGTGGCTCCCGGTCATACGAAAGCACCTGGGAGCGGCGAACCTGGCAGTTCTGGGAATTGACTTGTTGAATTACAAGGACCTCTGTGGCGGTGCTTGTGTCAGGATATGGGGCAGTAGGGGTGGGGGGTGGGGGTGCTGTCTATGAGGCAGCCATGCCAGAAGTGTATGGATCAGGGGGCAGAAGTTAGCACAGAGGCTTGGCAGCCAGCACTGTCTCGGCCATTCCCTCTGGGGCTGTGCTAGGAATTGTGAACTGGACCCATTCTTAATAAAGATGATCGGGGTGACTGGAACACGGATTGAACCTTGAGGAGGAGTCTCAGCCAGTAAATGTGGAAATGGAAGTGAACAGAATGGCAGGGTGGGCTCTTGCATGTCGTCTCGGCATGCTGCAGCTGTGCTGCCTGGAGACTTGAGGCGTGGGTGGGTGGCGGTGTCGTGAGAGCCCGTGTTCCGTCATGGCTTTCCAGGAAGAAATCTCCAAGTATGACAAGATTTGTGAGGAGGCCTTTGCAAGGTCCAAAGATGAGAAGATCTTGCACATCAAGCACTGGCTCGACTCGCCCTGGCCTGGTGAGTCAGAAGGAGGAGACAGAAAGAAGTTCCTGGCAGAACTTCTTGTGGAGGGAGCACAGGCTCCTTTGGGAACCGATGTACCCCGACCCCGCGCCCAGAGGCTGGCACCCACGCTCTCCTCTCTCAATGCTGCAGTCAAGTCCAGACCCTGGGCCAGTGCTCCACGAGGGCAGCGGTTCTCAGAGCCAAACGACCCTTCCACAGGGACCACCCAGTTCATAACAGTAGCCAAGTGACAGTTACAATGCGGCAATGAAAAGGACTTTATTGTTTTTGGGGGGGGGGGTCACCACAGCATGAGGAACTGTGTTAAAGGGTCGCTGCATTAGGAAGGTTGAGAACCACTGCCCTAGGCCGTGGAGAAAATATTCCCCGCAGCCTGTGGGAAGGCTCCCTCCGGCTCTTCCCAGTGCGGTGCCCAGTCAGCAGCACTTCTCACTGTCCAGGTGGTCAGGGCCCCTCAGCTTTGTTGTTCTCTTCCAGGTTTCTTCACCCTGGACGGGCAGCCAAGGAGCATGTCCTGCCCTTCCACCGGTTTAGCAGAAGAGATTCTGATGCACATTGGGAATGTGGCCAGCTCTGTACCTGTGGAGAACTTCACCATTCATGGAGGTAGTAACACCTGTTACCGTTGGCAGTTGAACTCCTGAGGGCATGTTGTGTGGAGGCTTCTGTCCAGGCTTGTTTCAGGACTAAGCACCCAGGACCCCAGTCTCATCTGGTGACCCACAGACTCCAACCCTTGCCTCATGCAAAACCGTTGGCGGGCTGAGTGAGGGAGCCCTTCTATGCTCACCCCTACTCTGGCTGGCATTAGAGGGAAGGATGAGCTGTCCCAGGTGGTTTTCTTTGGGACACGATCTGGAACCGTACACCTTTGGGGCACTTTCCCAGCCACTCAGGAGTCTTGAGACGTGCTGAAAGACGTCTCAGGTCTTGTCGGGTAGCACCATAGAAAGAGGGCCGCTGCTGGGAGGCCAACCAGCCGGTAAGTGCAGTGTCTGTGCAGGTCTAAGCCGCATCCTGAAAACCCGCGGTGAACTAGTGAAGAACAGGACCGTGGACTGGGCCCTGGCAGAGTACATGGCCTTTGGTTCCCTTCTGAAAGACGGGATCCACATCCGACTGAGTGGCCAGGACGTTGAGCGAGGCACTTTCAGGTAAGATCCTGGCTGCTTTTGTCTGACCCTCAGAGGATAGAAGTAGGAAGAGGGCCTCTGGAGTCTTCCTTCCCGACAACAATCATTTCCCAAAAACTATTATTCGCTTCCATCTGTCCTAAAGGTTTAAAGGGGCCATTTTCCCAGCTGCTTTGGGCTTTTGCAGCTGCCTGGTGGCGGGCAACTCAGGTGCTGCGTGCTCTGCTGCATCCCATTAGGGTCCTGGGCACACAAACCTGTGGTACAGCCGAGTTGGTGTGGGTTCCTGGCTAATAGCACTGACCTTCTGTTGTAGCCACCGGCACCATGTGCTGCATGACCAGAATGTGGATAAGAGGACCTGTATCCCAATGAACCATCTTTGGCCCAATCAAGCCCCTTACACTGTCTGCAACAGCTCCTTATCCGAGTACGGGGTCCTGGGTGAGTAGCTGCACACCACACTTCAGACGATGGAGAGGAGAATTCCCAACACCGCCCCCCACCCGACCCCCGCCAGCCCCATCCCTGCAGACTGATGCTGGGGGCGGGACTTTGTTCTCTCGCTGTTTGCAGGCTTCGAGCTGGGCTTTGCCATGGCCAGCCCTAATGCCCTGGTGCTCTGGGAGGCCCAGTTTGGTGACTTCCACAACACAGCCCAGTGCATCATCGACCAGTTCATCTGCCCAGGACAAGCCAAGTGGGTGCGGCAGAATGGCATCGTGCTGCTGCTGCCCCATGGCATGGAGGGCATGGTGAGTACCTTCCTGCCTTGCCACCACACCCTTCTCTGGGGCCTGTATCAGAGACAGGCTCCAAGTCACCTTCCGCAGGCATGGCTCATCCATCTGTTCCTGGGCCTTAGATCGGGGAGGGACCTCAAAAGGCAAGAGTAAAGTCCTCTGGATGCAGTTGAAGTTTCCTTCCTCCTAGTCCCCTACCCAGCCCCGGATCACAAGCAGACAGTGCCAGCGCACCCACTGGCCTGGATAGGGGCTCCTTTCTCCTTCTGGGGAGCTGCTCTGTCCCTCTCCCCACCTACCCATGTGTTCAGGGCTGTCGCTGGTGCACACAGTGCCCTGTGTGATGCTTTCATTCTGCAAAATTTTCCTGCCTTAACACGCCAGTTGGGACCTGTAAGAAGCAGAGCAAAGTCCTGGGTTCAGTCCTACAAGGAGAAAAGCCCCTTATACTCATTGTCTGTGAAGGAGGGAAAAGAAATGACCTTCAGGAAAAAGAAATTGGCAGTGGCATACCAAGATTAGCAAGTTAAGGAAGAGAAACAGCAAATGCTGCTGTTGCATGAGTGGAACTCTCGAATGTAACTCTGGTTCCAGGGCCCAGAACATTCCTCGGCCAGACCAGAGAGATTCCTGCAGATGTGCAATGATGACCCGGATGTCCTGCCGGTGAGTGAATCATCCCTAAGGGCATTATCACTATCCTCCTTGGGTCTCCAGGAGTTGAAGCTGTTTTGTAGCTGAGGAATTGAGGAGTCAGCCAGGCAGGTGCTCACCAGGCCAGGCGCATAGGTGCAGCCACCGTGCAAATCAGAGAAGAGAGGCAGGTGCAGGGCTGCTTCCTGCTGTTGCAGAGAGCCTCGAGTGGGACAGCTGTGACAGCTTTGGGGGAATTAATGCTGCAAGTGTTTTGATTTGGGGTAATTTCGGTGAAACGAGCTCAAGGAAAATCATTGGAAAGGCAGTACATTTCCATGGGACACTCACAGATTGGTTAAAGGTAAGATGTGTCTCTTATAATAGTGCTTGTTTAACCCAGACAGATAGTTTTCAAGAAATAGAAGGTAGAGAGCTTCGTACAAAAGCATGTGAGGAGCAGCTAGCTCAAGCCCTTAGATTCGCTCTGGTTTTGCCTTCTTGTGTTTGGATCTTTCAGGGAAGTGTGACTCCCATGAGGTGCGTTTGTGCGGCGTTCCTCTACTGTTGTCCCTGTGGCCAGCCCTACAGTCTCAGACACCTTCCACAAGGAATGGGTTCAGCATTTGCCTGGCCTCTGACCCTTCTCTTGTTGCCGCAGGACCTGGCAGAGGCCAATTTCGACATAAATCAGCTGTATGACTGCAACTGGGTCGTTGTCAACTGCTCCTCCCCTGGCAACTTCTTCCACGTGCTGCGGCGTCAGATCCTCTTACCCTTCCGGAAGCCGGTCAGTTGGAAGTCGCCTCGTAAGGGCTTGACCGCAGGGATGAATGCAGAACAGGGAAGGCTCCTCGGCCATTCTTGCCCTCGGGGTGGGGACTGTGGCCTCATTACTTTTCTTGCTACTGCATTGCGCTAAAGCCAGTCCTTAGGAACAGTCTTCAAGAATTGCCCTTTCACTTTCTCTTCCCCAAGCCAGCCAACCCTCGTCCTCGGCTCCACACACGCTTTGGACCCTCGTCTGCACGGGGCTCCGAGCTGGCTGTACAGAGAGGCTCCGACGATTTCAGTCCTTGAAGTGTCCCAAGGCACTGGGTCAGCTCTGTAAGGGATGAGCCCGGCAGGAAGGGAGAAGAAGGGAGGCAGGGCCCCTTGTGCTCACTAGGTGGGACGAAGGGCTTCTTCCTTGAGCCTGGCCAGCTGGCGGGGTGAGGGAGGCAGGCAGACCAGACAGAAGTGTGCGCACAGGCCCAAAGAGGAGGGAGCGTGGCTCTGTTGTCCCAAGATATTGCTGGGTGGGGTAACACCAGGCTCCCCAGGGCCAGTAGGAGTCTCCAAGGGGCCGGCAGCCCCCACGGCTTGGTGGCCCAGGTGTAATGGCCTTTTGCTCTGGGCCGCTGAGGATGGCACGGAATTTTCCTCAAGGTAGGAGGTGTTAGTGGGAAGCCTCGTGCACTCATGGGATCCCAGGTTGGGGTGCAGCCATGCCCGTGCCCGTGCAGGTAGGAGAGGATCAGAAGAGGGAATGAAGCGGAGAGTTTGTGATTGTTCCTGTTTTCTCCTTTTTCTGCCTCTCCTACCTGGGGGCAGGGGGTGAAGGGGTGGGGTTGTCTTGAAATTTAATCTCCCTTCTGGAATCTTCAGGACCCTGCTCCTCTGTTCTGTATTTCAGTTAATCATCTTCACTCCAAAGTCCCTACTCCGTCACCCTGAAGCCAGAACCAGCTTTGATGAAATGCTTCCAGGTACGAATGGAGGTAGAGGGTCAGACCTGCATTTCTAGGAGGGAATAGTAAGGGGTTGGGGTTGGGTTGGGGTCCTAGGCCGCTATTGTGGGGAATCTACTTGGTTTTCGTGTGCCTCTTGCCAGGTATTTATTTCAGCAGTGGGATAGAGGGTCGGCAAGGGTGGAAGAGCTCTGGCCATCTGGCGTGGCCCCACAGTTTAGTCCGTGGCAGAGTTGGCCCGCCTGCCCTAGGGCTGGGATTACTTAGCTGTGGATATTTGGTAGAATTGTTTTTGAGGCAGGTCAAGGAATCTGAAATGAACTCATAGCCACTGCCTGCCTTCTTCCTTGCAACGCACGGCTGCTCGGCACTGGCAGACTCTTGGACATGCCACCTCACGTGCCTGTGGTACAGGGGTAAAGCCCAGTGTCCTCATCCACACAGCGCTCCGGGTGACAGACAAGTGGACGGGGTCGATATTGTCACCCTCAACAGTCCGGGACAGTCCAGTGCAGGGCCAACCGTAGGCAGGAGGCTCCCCACATGCTCCTGTTCTCTGCTGGGGCCATTCTCTTGGCTCTGTTAACCTCCGTCTAACACACTCTGGAAATCTGAAGTATTTCCGTGACTGGGCAGACAGTCATACGGTGTACAAGCTGAGTAGTAAGATCACACGGTGTACAAGCAGAGTGAGTGGGTAAGTGCTTCAGGTACTCAGTTGCCCCTGAAGTCTGAGACTTTCCTATCTCCTGGGGCCTAGGCGACCCAGATGGTTTTAAAACAATAAATTAGTCATACTTGGTATCAGAAGTGAGCTTGGTCACTCTGTATGTTCCATCTGGTGTGCTTTTCAAAGTCCTCCTGGATACCGACGGTCAGGTTCATCGTTAAGGAGCTCTGGGGCTGAGGCTGCGGGGTGGCCCCCCAGCCCTTGGAAGCAGCTGTTAGGTGCAGTGCCACAGGGCTCCTGTGAGATTCTGAGGTGCCCCAGCTGTAGCAGAAGGCCGTAGGCATCGGGGCTCCTTGGACCGGGATGCTGGAGACAGCCAATTGGCAGTGTGGACTCTCTCTCACAGGAACCCACTTCCAGCGAGTGATTCCAGAAAACGGCCCTGCTTCTCAGAACCCAGGAAATGTCAAGAGACTTCTCCTCTGTACTGGCAAGGTGTACTATGACCTCACCCGGGAGCGTGCGGCTCGCAACATGACAGAAGAGGTGGCCATCACGAGAATCGAGCAGGTGATACCTGGGGAGCTGGTAGAGGCCACCCCCTTGAGCACCAGACAAAGCATAGCCCGCTGAGGCCAAGCATACCAGGCCACGCGCCATGTATTAGTGGGCAAAGGGGGATAGCCATCCTGGCAAAAGGGTCTCCTTTTGTCTGGCCAGCTCTCTCACACTGCCACCTTGCTTCCCCCCAGCTCTCTCCATTCCCCTTTGACCTCCTGCTGAAGGAGGTGCAGAAGTACCCTAATGCCGAGCTGGCCTGGTGCCAGGAGGAGCACAAGAACCAAGGCTACTACGACTATGTGAAGCCCCGGCTGCGAACAACCATCAGCCGTGCCCGGCCTGTCTGGTATGCCCCTGCCGCCCAGGGGAGCGCGCGCCCAGGCACAGCCAGGGCTGTGCTGAGGGGAATTAGCCCACCAGGATGGCCTCACCATGGTCCTCTTTGTTTCCTGTTACAGGTATGCTGGCCGCGACCCAGCAGCTGCGCCGGCTACTGGTAACAAGAAGACCCACGTGACAGAACTGCAGCGCCTCCTGGACACAGCCTTCAACCTGGATGCCTTCAAGGACCTGTCGTAGCCCGCCGCCATCGCAGCTGCTGCCCTCTCCACGCCCGTGACTGCCCTGCTTCTCCACTAAAGAATAGTGCCTCCCATTGCAATGACACGGGATGTCTTGTCCCCTCCAGCGTTTGGCTGCCCCTCTCCCTTGCCAGATGTCTCTCCTTCTGACCTCCCCCCGCTTTCTGGTGCCCCCACCCCCTGCCTCTCTCGAGGTCTCAGGGAGCAGGAGAAGGCAGTGCCAGCTGTGGGGAAGGCTGGGGCCTCCCTGTGGGCCCCGAGGTCCTTGCCACCCAGTAAGGAGAGCTGATCAGCAGGGAGAAGCGTACTCACAGGCTGGAGTCGGGTCTGTTGTGGAAGGGGTCCCATGGGCGGACCGGGCATTGGTCAGACTTTTGACTCCAGGGAACAGAGGCAAAAGGGGCAGCTCTCTCTGATCTTGGTTCAGAAGACACACCTGAGTCAGGAAGGGCCTGCCTCTCTCCAGTGTCCTCTCATGCCCCCTGTGTGGCGGTGTGTACCTCTGCCCTTGCCTGGTCTCGGGATCTGGAGCCCCCAGGGTGCCAGCGGTCAGGACCGACGTCCTGCTTGTTTCTCCAACTTATTTCTCTTCCCCCAGCCCCACCCCAACCACAACTGTTCTTTCTTTTACTTCTTTTCAACAACACGGAGATTTCCCGATGCATTCATTTCTCTGCTGTGCCAAAGCCAGGCTGAGGGCCGGCAAGCGAAGGGAGACGGGACCGGATGGGGCGTGGCCGAGCACAGCCGCCCGTCACCACCACCACTTAGGTCCTTCATGGTGACAGATCTGATTATTTATTCTGGTTTAAAACAAAAAACAAAAAAATAACTTTTCATTTGCCTTGACCCATAAAATAAGTTATCCTTGAGTTTGTCTGCAATGTCATTTGGCGTGCTGTCTTCTTATCCCCAAGGGGGGAGACCTAGTGGTGATGGAGACTAGTGTCAGTCTCTGGGCTTGGGACGGGGGCGACTGGGTCTGTTGGAACCCATGGATGCTCTCCCGGAGGTGGGTGCCTCACCCTGGTCTCAGACCTAAGCACAGTAAGAATTCCTCACCTCCACCAGGGTGTCCTCAACCCCGTCAGGGCCCCTGCAGGAAACTCTTGGGCACAAGCAACAGTGGACTAGAGTTGTCCTTTACGTCACTGCGGCTCAGGTGGGCCTCGGCAGTCATTTAGCCACGGCCTGTCTTCTGATCCTTGTCTGCGCTCAGAATACCCCACTACCCCCTGAAGTTAATTGGTTTAAATTCATATCAGTATCAGAATTAATACCTGCTTCTGAGGAACATAAAAATGAAACCACGGAACGGTGTTCCTTACCTGGGGTTGCACACACACCCTGACCAAAGAAGCCGTGCCACCTCTGCTTCACTTTGAAGTCAGCCACCCCCACGAACTATAACACTTGGTCATTAGTTTACCCAGAGTCCGAGTAGGTCACTGGCCTCTGTGACTATCTCCCATACCAGCTCTTGAGTTCAGTATCATTCCTCTCCCACAACCTGAGTCTGGGCCTCTTATTGGAAGGTCAACTGTGCCCATTCCTGAAACAGCCAAGAAAGAGGCCTGGGTGTGCCGATGGGAAGAACTGACCCACCCACCTAGCCTTTGCACACCCCCACAGTCTTGGGCAGTACCTGGGCCTCTTGTCCCCTGAGGCCACCGCAGCATCTCACCTGACTGGTCTGTATACCCTTGTGTGACTGGAGTGCCCTCTCGTGGTCAGGCCAGGCCCCCAGTGCACACTGTTCCCACTTCTGGTGGGGCAGGGAGAGACAGCTAAAGGAAGGAAATCTGAAGGGAAAGCACCCTTCCCCTAGATTGGTGCCTGCCCCCCCCCCCATACGTCATTTGGCCATTGTCAAAGAGGCTTTGTACACGGGGCCCAGCTGACCTGTAGCTGCTGTCAGGCGTGCAGTCAAGAATAGTGGGAAGATGCTCCCAAGTAGGGTCTTTATCTCATTACCGGGACAACTCATCCAGGGGATCCAGCTGCGCCAGTGACCTAGCAGTGGCTGATTGCTGGCCTTGCTTCCAAAGTACCTCTGGGTGAGTTTGAACTGCCAAGCCTTTGGCCAGTAGTTGAGTGCTTACCTATATGGCGACCCAGGCACCCCTGTGTAGTCCTGTATTTGAACTTCAGCGGGGACAAGGGCAGAGAAACTTGAATCCTTAGTTGCATGAGTTGAGATACCAGCAACATTGGCCTCTTAACTAGCTTTGTCAAAGGGGACGTACCTCATCTTTTTATGAGCTAAGTAAAAAAGCCAAACCAAATGCAATACCAGTGAGTCAGTGCTGACTCAGCAACCCCCAATGGGTTTCCAAAACCAACGTTTACACTAGTAGAAAGCCCAGTCTTTCTCCCTCGCAGCGGCTAGTAGTTTCAAACTACCAACCATGTGGGCGGCAGCCCAACCACTATTCCATCAGGACTCCTAGCACCTGCATTTTATCCGCGTATAAAACTCAAATTCTGTATGTTAGAGAGAAGCCTTGCTGTGGCGAGAGCACCCATACTCACTGCTACTGAGTCCATCCTGTGGAGTAGGGGAGGACAGCCCCTCCCCTGTCAGTATCTGAAATATTCTTTACAGGAGCTGAAAGCCATCTCGCCATGGAGGCGCTCGTGCATTTAAACTGCCAACCTTGTAGTTACCCCGTTGCAGGTCCATGAGACTGCCCGGGCTCCTTAGTCAAGAGCAGGGGGGTTACTGATTCTGCATCGCCCTCTGACATACCAGTCGGCCCAAGATTTCTGATTTGATCAGGCTGCCCTGCGCAAGAAGCAGGAGGGAGGATTGTGGGCCTGCTCAGAGGTGAAGGGCCCAGGGCCAAACCAGCGAGTGATACAGCACCCCCTCGTGGGTGCTCTCCTCTCTGACCAAAGACCAGGACTAGTGATGTGTAGGCTTCCTCCTGCCAATCATGGCTCCCCCAAAAAAAAGTGTCTAGTGCAAGAGTGACCCCTGCTTTCCCTCTCAGTGGTAGATGAAGACAGGATGGCTATTGTGGGGTAGCTTCTGTGTCAAGAATCAACCGTACCTCTAGGTGCGGGGAAGATAACCCTCGATGGTTATGGTATACAGTGAACTAGCCCAGCAGTGCTTAAAGGCATTACAATGGTTTTAAGAATGCCAGCCTTCTAGAAAGGTTGATGACTGTTGCCTGGGACTTGAAGCCCTTATGTCTGGGTGCCAGTTTTCTCCTGTGAAAATATGGGAGTTGCAATCAATGCTTAACAATAAATTAGTTCTTAAATTTGGTGGGGTAGCAAATTCCCTGACACTGGGAGTTTTCATTGGGAGATTGGACTGTGCAGGGATGGTGCATAAACCAGATTCTACCAGCAGGCGATTGATTGTATGTGGAGCAACAGGGACTGAAAGTTCAGGCATCAAGTTCCTGTTAAACGCTGTGGCCCTTGGAGGAAAGGGCCATTTGGTAGTGCTGATGCTGGGCACAGAGAAGCCCTGTGGATTGATTGTGCACCCGGGGCTGCCAAAGCATCTCAAGTTCCGCAGTTCGAAATCACCAGCCTATCCGCTGGACACAGATGAGGTTTTCTACTCCCTTAGAGTTACTGTCTTGGAAGCCCCCAGGGGCAGTTCTACCCTGTCCTATGGGGTCACTAGCTGTGGTGGGAAGGGGCTCAATGGCAGTGCGTTTCGGGGTTTGGGTTTCTGGCGCTGAGGACTGCCTGCGCTCCGGAACCTCGGCTTTGCTTTTTTTACACCCGGTCAGCAGACTGCCCCAGAAACGAAGGGCGGGCTCAGTCTGAACACAGAGGGGAGGGCCAAGGGCATACAAGGAACCCTCATCCTTGCCCCGGTAGCCTAGGCCCGAGCTCCAGCCCCAGGACCCGGTCGTGAACCGAGGGCCCAGACTGGTGGGCTCGGATGCCCCCTGGCAGATGGTTTCCGTTTTCTTTCCGGCCCTGCAAAGACCTACCTCCTCCAGTCTCGGCCTCCCTTGATCCAGCAGGGCTGGCCAATGGCACCAGGTTCACAAATGGCCAGGCCTCCATCGTGGGTGCCCGGCTATCAAGGCAAGGGCGGAGACGTGCACGGGCCGTGCTCCCACCTCCACCACATGTGCAAAGTGCCCCATCCTCTGGGTTTAGCCCCCTGGTCCAAACCGGTCAGTAATTGCCTGCCCTATGCTGGGCACCCAAACAACTGTGAAAGGCAAGCCACCATGGGACCTTCAAAGGAAGGGTGGCACTCTTCGGGGTAGGGAAGCAGTCCACATCCCGAGACCATGAGGAAGGGGTCTCCGGGAGGGGAGCAGGCTGCCTGAGAGAGGAGCACCCAGGACTGCGCACAGCGTGCGTGCGGGGGGGTGAGGCCCTAGAAGAATCCAGTAAGAGCACCATCCTGATTCTTCTTGGCCTTGGGGAGGGTGAAGGACAGCTGGGTGAGGATGAGTATGGAGCAGTGCGATGCAGGTGGGAACTGATGTGGTAGAAAGAAGTCAGGGACATCACCCCCTGATGTCCATAGAGAACGCTTTTCCGCCACCAGCTCTCCTTATCTGCTTGTAGGACCTTGCTCTATTCCCCGGTCGCTCCAATTCCCCCGCCTCTCTGCCAGCCCCTCCAGCTCCACCTCATTCCAGAGCAGTCTGGACGACCCATTCTTGTGACTCCATCTCCCTCGGATTCATCTGTAATCTTAATCTGTCCTCTACGTGAAGCCAGTCATTCACCCCACTTCCTGCACCTCCCAGGCCTACATGTCAGGGTTCCCTCCCCTAGTGAGAGGCCGTTCCTAGGAAGGGGCCACACTTTCTCGCAAGTCTGTTGCTGCTGTTGCAGGTTTCTGCTGACTGGCAATTAGGAGACTACAGCTCCTCCACCCCCCAGCTGGCGTGACCACTCAATCAGGGACTCCAGTTTTCTTCTTCTGAGAACGATGTACCCAAGACTCATACCGTGATTTTCAGCAAATTCATTTGTTAACAAAACCAAATAAGGATCCTTCCAGCTCTGAGGCCCCTCCCCCAGGATCTGGAACACAAACTTGCATCAAGCCGAGAAGCAGGACCACAGAGGAGATGAAGCAGGGTTCATGGCGTCATCATTCGCCCTCCCACAGTGTATTAAATTGTATTACACTGGCAACACAGCTCAAAAACCAAACTCACTGCCATCGAGTCCATGCCAACTTACAGTGATGCTATAGGACTGAGCAGAGCTGCCGCTTGAGTTTCTGAAACCACAACTCTTGTAAATCATTTTATTGGGGGCTTTAACAGCTAGTATAACAACCCATAATTCAGTTAAATACAGTGAACCTGTACATATACTACCATCATCATTTTCTTTTCTTTTTTAATAAATTATTTTATTGGGAGCTCTTATAGATATTATAACAATCCATACATCAATTGTATTAAGCACATTTGCGTATATGTTGCCATCATCGTTTTCAAAACATTATTTTTCTACTTGAGCCTTTTGATACCAGCTCCTCTTCTTTTCCCTCCCTCCCCAGCCCTCCCACCTTTGTGAACCCATAATAAATTATATATAGAGATTTTTTTTCATATCTTACACAGTCCACTGTAGCCCTTCACCTATTTTTCTGTTATTTGTCCCCCTGGGTGGGGAGGGGGAGTTATACATCCATCATTGCTATCAGTTCCCCCTTTCTCCCCTCCCCTCTCCCCTGTGCCCTCATGGTATTGCTGCTCCTGTTACAGTTTCTGAGGGGTTTACCTGTCCTGGAATCTGTGTGTCGAAAACACTTATCTGTACCAATGTACGTATTGCAGTCTAGCAGGATTTGTGAGGTAGACTGGGTCATGATAGTGGGGGAAAGGGAGCATTAAAGCACTAGAAGAATGTTGTATGTTTCATTGGT